GCAGGTCAGATGACCATATGGTGGGGTCACGCTGGCGTAGTCGTAGTCGTCTTGATAGGCTGATTCAGCTCCCCGCACTACTAATCGTATACGTTCTAAGCGACGACGCGCACAACCAATGCAGTCCGGTTCAAGCACACGCTGCGCCTGTCGCAAAGTCTGACGTCTGCGACAGTGCGCGAGCAACGTATCTTCTATAATATTCCGTTTTGAAGAGATACTCTCGTCTTCAGCTATGTTTATTGACAGCGTGTCGATCAATAAAATGCAGCCAGCGATGATGGCTTTCGATCTTGACCATCAACAAACTCTAGGATCACCGTTCGTCTCCTTCATTGATCTGTCAATGATTAATGAGCTTTATGGATGCAAATGTGAGCAGATAGAGCAACTATTTTTTGTAGTTTTTCACAAAAAGCATTGACAAGTGCAGCTTGTTTGTCTGATGCTTAACCCATTCGCGACCGCGCATTTGCGCAATAGCAGGAGAGTCAGGAGATTTTTCTTCAATAAAATTTGAGTGGATGGAGATTTCCTCTGCCCAGGGCTGGCGTAGATGAATGAGGGTATGAAGATTCTTTTCAGGAAAGAAAACTTTCCAAATTCCATTTGAAACACGGCAGCCACCGGTGGATACCATTGTCCCGAGTGAGATCTTTGTCAGCCACCGGTGGCTGCCATTGTCACGAATGGGTTAATATAAAATGCATCTGTGGCAAAGTGCGCATCACCGCAAGAAGAGACTTGAAATTGCAATGAAGTGTATAGGCTAGGAGTTCTTACAGCGTCGCCGCAGGTGTGATGACACATCTTACCAATGTAGAATGCTTCACGCCATCATCGTGGCACTCAGGACCACTTGGTCCACTTCGTTGAATTTAGATCATTAGCATTATTTCCAGACGTTGTGTCGTCCTGCTCCTTATTCGGTAGCTTGTGGAATGTACGGTTTCCCAAACCCACGTGATTGCAGAAAATGTATCTGCCCTGGTGGTTATGGTGGAGATCGATGTACAGAAAGAGTAAGAAGAAAATTATTCGACTGTAGGAACATGGAGTATCAGTTATCTGTTTAGCCAAAGGGTAACTGTGGAAGTACAATAGGAGCGTCGCCATACTGGAACATCCTCAGAGTTGTTATGGGGGATGTTAATGTTCGCCAACCATTAGAGGACTTCACCGTGTGCAACTACTGGATCACGGTACGTTATGCATTCTTAACCTAGTGTTGAGATTGTTTTATAGTTTTGGTGTTCACGCGCCACACAAGCTCTGGTCCGGAATCGAGCCCATTATTACGAGAAAATTTGGTTTCTTACGTCAGACCAAAGTCTTGAACCAGTTGCGAAACAATTTCTAGCTGCACGACATAAACTTGAGCGTAACCGTGCAACTACCTAACCTTATCCCCCGTTCAGCAGCTAATGAACCTACTGAAATCAGTCGCAAAGTCGTCGCTGTCTTTTTTCAGTCTCCTCCTAAACTGAATCGAGATTATCCTTCTGAGCTTCAGTAACAGTTTTGGTGTTAATGGATGTGTGTTCAATGGCATAGAAATCAAGACGAACCAGGACCAACGACTAACTGGTTATAGGTTTCTTTATAGGAAGTGTCTTTGTGGACACTCCTTTTTACCGTGTTCATTGTCCGAAACTACGTATTCACCGCTTAGGTTCTGCTCTAATAGCGCAGCCTGGACCAGACTCCGTTCTCACACCAATCTAGTTCCCATAATTGCATGGAACAGACTCTACAGATCAGGAAACGAGATTGCTGTACCGTTACGGTAATACATTCAAAACAATTCATCTGTGATAGTGTGCCATCTTATGGAATTGATTCAGTTTTGAAAAGCGAACCTCGTCCAGCATCTCGAATACTTCGACCAGTTCCCACAACGACCACATCTTTTCTCCCATCTTATTTCTGGACTTCCGGTGAAGCAGCGCGCAGATGTATTAACCACCCAAGGTATTGTGGAATTTGGAAGACTTCGATACAATGAGAGGCGGATGCATTTTTAACTGTTCATATTTCATTCATTTCATGTTTCAGCTGTTCATATTTACGTCATCTTATGTTAGCACCTCTGGACTCTGCTATGGCCAATCCGCAACAAGTGCACTAATAAGAACCTATTGCCCCAGTACATGTTATCTGTGTTTTACCCCTATCAATGCCAACACTGCCACTGGAGCTGGTCGCTATCATATAAACAAATAATATCAATCATTCTGAGAAATGTCTCTATGTCGGAAACTTGTCGGATTCACTTCAATAAATGATTTATCACAGTAGCGAACGCAGCGCAATGAGCACATTGCTCCATAGACCAGCTCATACTGCAAAGTTATTTCCGATCTGTGGAACCTGTTATGATTGCCTAAGTTCATCCTAGAATCAAGACTCGCGCTTGGCATTGATACGTTCAATAGTGGCCGATGAGTTGAGCGACGGGCTAGCTTTCTCACTGGTTGTTCTCTGAAATGTTCACGATTACAATGACCGACGACTTTCTTCTTTCTTCCTTTCTTTTTTCTTTCTACTTTTTACTTTTCCTTACTTTCTTCGACGACTCCTTCAATCGTTAAACTCTTCTTTCAGTTTAGTCTTGAGTAGGCGGTGTTCTGGGCGCGTCATTTCCCAGATATTCCCAGATTCCCAGACATTTCGTCATTTAACACCTTGACGACAGCGCGGCAACTAGGTTTGCCGCGTTTTGCACGCCGCAATGGACATTGTGGCAACTATAGTTGCCACACCCTTTACATTCAGTTTTTTCTTGAACGCGCCATTTCTTCCCAGGTTTTTTGTGTTCATTTTTTAGGCCATACCACAACATAACCAAGAACCACGCGGCTTATAGAATGACCAAATATTCTTTAGTTTGGCAGAGGTTTTTCGGACCGGACGAAAATATCCGTTCAGTTCATTCCTCATTTTCTCTTCATTAACACGAACATGTAGATAAAAAAGAATATTAGAAGTGAGTACAAAGCTACTCGTGTGGCAAGATATGTGTTTTTACCGAAACAACCACGTCCAAAATAATTTTGAAATCACTAAAGCAAAAGTAAGTGAAACTTGCCTTTTCAATGCTGTAACACATCATTCGACCGCACTTTCACATGTGTACCTTCCAATAAGTTTGACACACCGAATATCAGTGAAAACATTTTGTCGCATCGAAGTATTGCGTATTTAAAGCTCAAAATCCACAGATTTGTTGTGAGGCGGCGGCGCTCGCAGAACCGCTCTGGTCCCACGCGGCCAAAAATGCCAAAACGCGCGATGTCGTCAACGTGTTAATAACGTAATTTCTTCGTCAAAATATATAGCATACGCAAACTACCACATAGAGTCACATTAAACAGGCGCACAAATCTTCCACATGAGGGGGGAATGAAGGAGCGTTCTTAATATTGTACTCTTTTGCAATGGTTTGGAATTTAACAACCATACTCCGCGGGTCCGCAACGTCCGAGGTACTCGTCATAGAGACGAAGCCGACCAAGTATGACTGACCGATAACAGCGCTTCACGCCGACATATCACCGCCGTTTTATACGGAGGCACGTCAGAACGCAAAAGTCGTCGATTCCGTTACCTGGCTCGCATTGAGACCAGAGCAACCATGCTCACAGTTGTTATGTGGGGTGAGACGGGAACATTGTTGGTAGGTGACCTGTAACTAAAGGCCATCAACCCCAACCGGCCTCTTCGGATGCAGTCTCCGGCAATACGACGACGATCGGCCTACTGTGCGCCTCCCGGTTCCAACTTGAGGAAAAAACAACAATCTTGAAGGTCAGTGTTCCAGTGAATAACAGCGATTCTTCGAAGAGTCGAAGCAGGAACCTCGCCTCTATGAAATCAGTGCAATAGATGCCCTTATCGAAAAAGGCGTTCTGGAGGAAATTTAGAGTCACAAGACGTTACTGTCGTAGTTTCTAGCCAATGGCTTAGGAATCGTGATCGAGAGCCCAAGTTTTCGCTCAGTTGCTCGGAATCGCTGATTCTCCGATAAGCAGCAAGATAGATAAATTGATCTGTTGACTAAGAAGCGCCACCAATGAGAGTAACATTGTAGGATGACAGTAGTGACTGCTCACATTTTGTCCTTGATAATCGCCATCAATGGAAACATTGTCGATGACACGCCGTTAAATGCTGAGCAAGACGCTCAACACTTCGGATCCGACGGCAGAGATGACCTCTTCTCCTGAAGGAAATACTCCAGGTTTTTCGCTTATTTTTTGGATGTTATTTTCAGCGAAGAAAAGAAGGCTTTGGTGAAATGAGTGGGATCAGAGAGGTAATGTTACAGGCTTCAACGTTCCTCACATCTATGCGGAGGTATGGCTTATGGAATAGTTGTAAAAAACGTGGGGAAAAGTCTCGCCTAATCTGAAATAGAATGGCTCTCGAGCAAATTTTTCAGAAACTACAAAAGATAAACCATGACCATGTCATTGAGAGAGGACACTCTATTCCCGAAATCAATGAAAAGAGTGGAGTGGCTGAGGAGCTTTTCCAGGGCGATATCCTTCTCGCAAAGTACGTACTAGATAATTGAAACAAATGAAACGGTTGTTTGTCAATAAGTTCTTTTGAAAGGCCTCACGTTGTGGACGTTTCCAACAATGCTGGAGACGGAATTGGGGGTGCCGGCATTGGGGAAACCAGCCGAAGCAAGCGTCAAGCAGTCACAGATCCCGATCTGTTGTGGAATGACGGAATAGTGTACTACTACTTCAACGATTCTATTAGTGAGACATAGAGCCTTTATAGCGATTTCAGGGAAACAAAGCGAATTCCAGGTAACAATCTCAGAACGATTTTCTTGAAAGCAGCGGAATTGTGGGAGAAAGATTCGTGCGTCAAATTTGAGTATAACGATAAAGGTGAGAGGGAAGTGGTTGCAGTTTTATGAGTTTTATGCTTTTCACTTACTGTCCTCAACATCAGGGAACAAGCTATGCGTAATGAGCGAAATTTTTTTCCGAAGAAATCACAGTAAAAAAGCAGTTTTACCATGCCATTTCTATTTCACTGTGCGTCTATGCAGGGGCGAGGGCAATGAAAAAAAGACACCATCCCCCCTCCCCCCCCATAGCTTCAAGGGAATTAATGTAACAAAAAAATTCAAACCTAACGCACTCAAGTGGATATTGAAGAGCACATTTCATTTTGTCCAAGAACTTCACTATAGTCCTCCATATTGACGGCATCTGAAAGTCTGAAACGGGAACATGGTGCAGGTTACCAATTCAACGAGGTCCCTACGGATAGGGTGTATTACAACGGTATCCGGAATGCTGGTCGGAGAGGGTCTTGCATAGGCAGAGGCATTCTTGAGCTCGAGGCGATGACAGATAACTTTGTGTTCTGAAGGGTGGTGAAGACTTGATGGGAGGGCCTGCTTCTGCTTATGTGGGGTCATGAGGAACATGAGCGCAAGTTATCACCATAAGTAGTAGTAGCTCCACACTTTTTGCGTTTAGGGAGCAGCCTTATTTCTGCAGTTTCGAATTCAGTAAACATATTCTCTATTGAAAGGGATGAGCTAATGGCAATCGCGGAACAGGCCCTCGAGAACTTGATCAATGGCCACAGATACGGGCACCTTTTGCTTGTTTTAAAGCATTAACATGGTTCGAATGAGCGCGAGGGATTAAGTTGAGAACATTTTCTTTCAGCAACCGATCGAATCTTGGTGCACGAAGGGAATGGTTGCTTGTCATCAGTAGGAAAAATAGGAGGCGAGCAGCAAATATCACTAGGAGAAGATTGTGATTCGGTTGATATTGCCGCTCACGAGATTGGTCACGCACTCGGATTCGATCACACCATGTCTAGGGATGATCGCGACAAATTTATTACAGTGAATTTTGCAAATGTTGAGGTAAATATACTGGAAAGGAAATCGAGAAGTAAGATCACTCAGCTTATTTGCAGGATTATTACAGTGACCATTTATTCGGAGAGGGCATGCGAACGCTTGACTTGCCGTACGACTACGGGAGCATTATGCACTATGGCAAATCGAGGTTTTTCATGAATTTTATCCTGCAGTGAATTCTTGCTTGCTGTTTTGAAATGTTTTTGAGTTGACACCTGTATCCTGTGACGGGTGTGTATCTGAAATCGTCAAATTAGGTCATGCAAAGCTTGTGCGAGCAGCACATAATCGCGTACCGCATTACGCTTGCGGCAAGCAGAAACTTTGCACGACTCCACTTATATGCTTTACTTCACAATTGCCCGTAAGCATGAAAATGGCATACCTGCTCAAATGTCCCGTTCCCTCATATAGCTAATATTCGTGTCTATTTATCTCGCTTTCCAGTTTGTGTAATTCAGAAGAGAGGACAACAGCTCTCATTGGCTTGTGCAGTTTTTGCATGAAGTTTCCAACTTTGCCGAATTCTTTTAACAGCGTGTCGATAGACAAGGAAGCAGCCAGCTATATTGCCACTCGAGTACGACTACAGATATACAATTGGGTCACCGTTCGTCTCTTTCGTGGATCTGGCAATGGTCAATAAGCTCTATGAGTGCAAAAGTGAGGAAAAAAAATCAGCGACTGTTTTGAAAAAGTTTTTAGAGCTATTAGCGGTGATTTTTCCAACACTAAAAACAGTGGCGATCTTTTTGAAACTCCTCTAAGACGCCTTAAAAATGAGAAAATTAGAGTTCCAAGAAGGTGGGAGTTGACTGGGGCATGCAGTAATGTGATGACGCTTCTGTGCAAATGCGCAGTGCGACGCCACTTGTGACGACGCATCGTCACGTTGAGGCAGCCAGGATTTCTTCGCGATTAATTCATTACATGCTATCCGTATGGTAGGCGATGTTGCTGAAGTGGTGGAGTGTAAAATGGGTGGTTTCCCTAATTCACGTAACTGCAGCAAATGTGTCTGTCCTGGCGGTTATGGTGGAGATCGATGCGACGAAAGAGTAGGATGATTATCAGTGACTGCAAGAGCATTGAATATCAGTTATCTATATCTATTATTAAGCAGAGGAAGTCTGTGGAAGTACAAATTAAAGCAACGCCGAACTGGCGAATTCACGATTGCTCAGGAGATCGACTGACTGAGTCTTCAAAGAGGACATCCACCTAACTTGACTATGGATTGAATAGTTGAGCGCTTCACCTTCTACGCTAATATAACTTAATACGCTATAACTTAACAACTTCACCTTCTACGCTAATTGTATTGCGAGGATACGATTGCTAATTCCATCGACAATCTAACGTGCTTTTTCCTCTACCACCATGTACATTCACCTGTCATGTGCTCTCACGCTAAAAAAAGCCTTCGAACTACGCGATTTTTTGGTGCGCGCACACGTCAAAAATGTGAGGGTCTTCGCCATGACGTAACGGTAATGTCAAGCGAAGTCAGCAGCTATAGATGGAAGCAATTAGTCGATACCAGTTGCAGGATTGTGACTTTGAATTTTTCAGTCCCCATCCGACACCGAAATCGAGGTTGAGGTTCTGAGCTTTCTGAGTACCGAGGATTATTATAATCATGACGGATGTGTGTACGGTGGTGTAGAAATCAAGACGAACAAGGACCAACGGCTAACTGGCTATAGGTACTCTCAGTGGAAAAATTTTGTTATGCATTCTCCTCGGAGTCCGTCGTTTTATCAACTGCTCAGGTTCTGCTCTAAGAGCACAGACGGGACCAGACTCCGTTCTCACACTAATCGGACTCCTATAATTACATGGGACAGATGGTTCGGATGGGAAGTGACTCTAGGCTATCGTCATGGTAACACAGTTGAAGCAATTTATCCGTGATAATATGCCATCTTATGAGAGTGACTTAGTTTCGAAAAGCGAACTTCGACCAACTCCTCGAACAGTTCAACCATTTCCCACTACCACCAGAACTCCTCCTCCGGATTATTCTTTCTGGACCTCCGGTAGAGCAGCACACGAATGTGTGGACTATCCAACGTAATGTAAATGCTTCGAACAGTTTTGATAGAATGAATAAATGCATTTTTCAGCTGCCCACCTCACGTCAACACTGTTGGGACCTGCAATGATCCATCCCTGGAGGTCTATTGTCCAAAGTTTTGTAATCTGTGCTATACTCCTCGGTCTACCAACAGCGAAATCGGAGCTCGTCGTTCTCCCACGAACAAATAATGATCAATCCTTTTGAGGGGTGTTTTTATGTCAAGGAAAGTGACTCATAATAATAAATACTTCATCGAAGCTGTGCAATTTGCTAAGCACAGTAATCAGTGGCTTCATAGTCAGCTCCATAGTGCAAAGTCATTTCTGATCTGTAGAATCTGCTCTGTGTAATCGTTCGATGTAGATCGTTCGCCATACAATCGAGACAGATGTTGGGATTGATATGACCAGGGTGGCCGATAAAATAAGTATGTAGACGGAGTCTCAACGTCGCAGTGGACGATGTCTGATACATCGCTCCGAAGCAGGACACATGCAACTCAGAAATAGCGGAAACTGCAACCGGTAACTTCAACTTCAGCCGATTGAACAAGTGAAGAAGTGCTCTGTCGCGATCTCTATTGGGAGAGTTTCACGGCTTTGGTCATCCTGTTCTCAAAGACCACATTCCAGTACCGTAACCAACCAATTAACCTCTATCAAGTTGTTCTTGAGTGAGTGGGATGCTTAATTACTCTTGAGACCTACACTTCCATATTTATGTATATTGCATATTTCAAGGGTAATAAACGGTCCGCCTCCTCCTCACCTTCTTTCGCTAGTAAATTAACAACTAAACCACTGCTTTGTTGTTTCAGTAGAAGGGCAATCACAAATTTCTTTTAGCCCAGTCACCACACAGAAACTTGCAATCCTGCTATATATAATCCGGTAAGCGGTTGTGTGTGTGTTTGTCTGTCTGACCGGAAATTCATAGCTCGGGCACCAGTGGTCGTCAGGAGTTGGTTTCAAGATATGATATAGGGGGTGGGACGGGAACATATTTGGTGGGGACAAGAAAGTGATAGCAACTGATAAGGGCTGATAAAAGGCGCTAGAACGGCAAGGGTCGCGAATTAATAACGCGCGGACCTAGCGTCGGCAGATACAATTCCCATGACTATGATAATAGGTATGACCGGCAACATTTGGTGGGCGACGAAATTTTATAAGGGCTGATAAGAAGCGCTACATCGCAAAATTGCCGATTCCGTTTTGTAATGCGTGTTGACATTTAATTGTTCATACTTACAAGTGTTTATTGTGTGGTACGAGACGTAAGGGACACGTGCTTGAAGTTATTGCATTAAGAAAGCCTGATAAGGAGATTAGAAGCGCAATAAGTCGTGCATTTCATCTAGCATAACCCGCAGTATGAGACTAGAGCGCTTACAGTCACACGGTATGTATGTGTGGGTGGATAGGCCATAGCTAGTGGGGAAAAGAGGGCTACAACCCCTGATAATTGGCCGATAGGACGCCTGAGAGCGTAAAAGTCGCCGATTCCGCTACGCAGCGCGCGTGAAGCGTCCCGTTCCTACCTACAAATTCTATGTGAAGTGGTACGTTCATAATGTTTCGATATAATAAGCGTAACCTGAACAAGTCTCAAGCAAAGGATGAGTTTTATTCTCAATTCATTAACAATGGAGAGCAAAACCCTTAAACCGCTAAACCATCCAGTTTCCTGAATATTGGTCAATGTAAATCAAGGATAAGTGTTAGATGCGCCCTCATGATGAATGAGCATGTTTCATTTTCATTTTGAAATCGACAACAAAAATCCCCTTCACCGCTAAATTGTCCGAATTCGAGAAAAATGCTGGGTGTTTACAAAGTAACGAAATATTACAGCGACATCCGCACGTTATCGTCGCGATCACGGAGGTTTAACTTGAAACCTGGGGAGCCTGCGATCCTCCAGCTCCACCAAAGTCTGTGATGCGCGCAGTTATGCAGGCGGAGCAAAACGTCTACTAAAAATAAGAATCGAGGGTGGGACGAGAACATAATCTGATGGGGACCAGAAATTGATACCAGCTGACAGAACGCGATAGAACCGGTGCTAACGGCACTATGTCACCAAATCGGCAGCGACAATAGCCCAGCAGCATCTGGGCTTGCTTGCATAATGAAACAGGGTGGGTACGGAACACTATATGTGGATAGCGCGAAGACAATAACTGATAAATTGATAAGAGGCGTTATGACGCAAAACGCATAAAATGCTTGCACGCGCCAGCAGCAAACGTGAGTCTGTTGCCCACAGATATGATCTTATAGTGGGCATGGAACATCTTTGATGGGGACAGAAAGTTATAACAGCCTGATAGGGCTGATAATGAGGAATAAGGAGCGATACAAAGCAAATGTACTGAAGTTCTTATCCAGATGTGGGATAAGAAAATCATTTTTTGCGATGTAGTCGTGATCCATTCGACCGCTAATCTGCCCGAGCTTCCTAAGATGGTCGGTGTCTGTGGAAATACGATAAATTGGTAATTCTATCGCATCACCGGTAAAAGAAGTTATTAGACCGCTAAACTATCCCAGTATCCAAGCATGGTAGATGTTTACGGTGAGGGTGATAATAAGCAGCCCAAGTAATTGTATTAGTTATCCAAAGGTCATTCGGCTGCTAGACTTTGTTAGTTCTAGAAAAATGATGGATGTTTATTGGTATTGAGCTATGAGAAATTACTGCTTTATCATCTGCTTTCCTTAATACCATCAGTAAAATCAATTGAAAGCAGTATGTTACTCAATACAACAGCCCGGCTATACTCTGTTTCACAGAAGCCTATGTTGACATGCGCGCGATAGCGGGCGGAGCAAAACTGGTTACTATATTCAACAGCGAGAAATTGAAGACAAAGCATTGCATAAAGCATTGGCGGCCGTCCATCCCTTTGGATTGCGCCGCGTACTCTAATCCCTTTCAGAATCGTATTGGCATCTAAATGCAGTTCAGCCATAGCCCTTTTTGGTCGTATTGATCCTCGTAGAGAAGTCTGGTCACATTAGCGATAAAAGCCTTGGATGGATAGAAGGCCTTCCTGGCCAGATAGAGACTCCGGTCGAAATCGTGCCCATGATGACTGCGCCACTAATCAGTGCACCAAATCTCAACCTGAGTAAAAAGGTCTTAATGTTATCTGGTCGTAAATATAAATGCTGTCTGTTCGTAAGCAAAAAACACAGAAGATGAATGCAAGATTTATTTCGATGAGTGCCTTTGAATAGGAAGCTACAACCATTAATGCCGTTGCATGTCACCGTGGCGTATTTGATGGTGACTGACCTTCTCCTTTGCAGACGTTATGAAATCTTTCAGCTAAAAGAGTGTTTTCGTAGTTCTGGCTTCAATTGTAGAAGCCAAATGAGTCTGAAGGCAAGGGCAAGGGGGAAGGGGAAGGGGGAAGGGATTTCCACCTGTGAATATGCTCACAGGAACTTTCCAACTACCAAACATGTTGCGGTCCTGTATAACCAATTTTTTCGTATTATTTCTTGATTAAGGAATTGTAGACGTAGAGGGTTACACCCTGGAAGAACCCCAATAAATCGCTCAGAAAAATTTTGGAGACGCATTACCCACTGTGCTATAACTCGTCATTGCCTTACAAGGAATCGGGTAGAGGGTTTCGCCCTGCGGATAGAATGTTCAGACTATTGCAAGAATAGAGAATCATGGGTAATCAGAAAAATCCGCCATTATTGAGCAATAGGGCTCGTCAAGAGGTACGATCTGTAGAGGAACAAATCAAATGGTCCCCAAAGGGGATGGAGTTGTCGACGAATCGAGTGCTGTTCAAGCTACCTATTCTAATTCTGCTTCTAAACATCGCAAGAGTCATCCGAGGGAGATTAGATGGCGTGGATATGTAAGCGGCATAACTATGAAGCGTCAAATTTTACCAATAATCCAATAATTTCCAGTTTCAATCCAGGATAGCCCCATGTTCCGTCTATTATTGTGGTCTCCCTTGTTCCACAACAGAAAACACGGGACCAGATAGAGGTTTCACCGCTGAAGCCCACAAAGTCGTCACATGGCTAAAAGACAATCAAGGCTATGAAAGTGACGATGTATACCTGAGCACAGCCCGCACCAAGAATTGCATAGGCAACAGCGAATTTCCCATCGACGTTCTTTGCTTTCTCTTCGATAAGATCGTGGTTAGTTATCAATCCTTGTTCTTGTGCTTGCTTCTCAATCTGAATCGTAAAGGTGTTCTAACATATCCAGTCAACCTGAAGGCATAGTTCATCCATGAAAGTGATGTGATTCTTGCACAAGAAGGTAAAAAAATAGCTGCGAAGCGCACAAATGAAAATCCGCTGCAAACCTTCGAAACCCGCTCTTCTTTTCAGGTCGGGCTGCACCAACAAGACGAAGAGACACTGAACGTGGAATGGAGAGGACTGACGAGGGAGCACGACGTGCGAGAATGCCCAGACAGTCGCCTGTTTTTAAAGAATTAGCGAGGGTAACAGGGCCCTGGTACAATGTCAAGCTCTTTAGGGCGGCGAGAACAGCACAGCTGCAATTTTTGTGCGTAGCTTTCTCCGACCCACCCTAGGGTTGCTACACATGACCTCATCGTGGGGTCTCCCTTTGAAAGCACATTCAGCGATGGAGGTGCTCACTGAAGGCAGCACCTACAGTAGGCAGCGCGAAGCAGCCTGCAAATGTGGAGGCTCCTGCGACTCAAAGATGTGTCCGGTGTCTCTCCGTCGTGCTACTGCACACTCACTTGGAAGAAGGTCCTGATGTGATCATTCTCGGTACTTTCCTTTGCGCTCTTCCTTACTTTGTCTGTTTCTCCCTACCTACACTTTATTTCCAAGTAAAACAACTACAACTTTGGATCATGGGAGGTTCGTTTAAGTCTCAAAGCAGCCATCGCGGGACAAAGAGCGATTCTGTGATCGCTTCTAATTTGCTATCTATCGGTCAGGCAATACTTGCCGCGGATCTGACTACTCCCGTGTGCGAGTCAGTCATTTTTGAGTCAAAGTTTTGATGGGTTACGACAACGTGCTCCGGCAACTTCACGTTAAGCCTTCTTAGAAGAAGCAGCACCGCCACCACCTGCGGCCGCACCACCAGCTGACCTTGTTGGAGCGCAGGCCTGAATAGCAGGCATTAATCCCCGATGGAATTTCTAGCCGAGATTACAAAGCAC